GGCTGACGAGTTGTCGTTCTGCAGGAGAAGCTGCCAAGGGAAAATCAGCTGACGGCATCGCTGACGGAGCTCAGCGATGCTTTGGAGAGAGAGGTAAGAGGATGATTACGGAGAGGTTGTCAGTTGGTGACGTGGAACATGGTGTTCAGGGGAAGATGGCGTTCGAGGATAGACCGGATGTCGACCCAACAGATGCAGATCCTGTATGATTCGATGGAGGATGCTGTGAAGTGCACAGAGATATCTTGATCCTCGTCTGTGTGATGGGACTTTGTTTCTGTTGTGATGTTTTTCCGCACCTCATTTAAGTCGGAGTTACATCTGATATGATACTTGAAAACCGCGGTGACAATACTGTGATGGGAAGAGCGGATTTGCAGTATGATGGTGCATGCGGCATGTTGGCAGACGTTGTGTGTTGGTGGCTGAGGGTTATTGGAGCTGCGCACCTTTCTGACCTCCACCACAGGAATTCATCGACTTCACAGGCAGTCACGTTCGATCAAACCTTGAGAGAGTTATCGAGAGGGCGCTGGGTTGGTTCCCTAACATGCCGCCTGTTGGTTCTGACGGCGAGCAGGCGCGACGAGACTGGTTGTGTCGAGCATCAAAGTGCAATACCACAACACGTCTGAGTTAGATGGAGTGAGTCGGACGGTGAGCTCTTGTTGGCTGTTGCGAAGTTGTGACTTTCATTTCAAGGTTGGAATTTCCGTGGATGATATCAGAGTAACTAACAACGACTCAAGAATACAATCTCTTTCAAACGTTGGACCCGGGAAACTTGTTTCGAAGATCGTTCAGTTTGGATCGGTGAAGACCAACACGCTTGCTTGGAGGGGAATTGAACACCGTCGCAGATCCGAGCATTCTGCAGCGAAGATGATTCGGAGGAGGGTCAGGCCCATGAGGAATTCATCAGGTGGAGTCGAAGAGATGGAAGGGTGAAGATGCAGGATGATGTCAACTGCAATGTTGTCCTCAGTGATTAGTTCGATGCGGATTTGATGATGGAGATGATGATGATGATGATGATGGTGATGGTGACGATGATGATGATGATGATGATGATGATGATGATGATGGAGATAATAGTTGAGATGAAGATTGCAAGAATGGTTATGATTGAAATGATGATGATGATGACGGTGATGTTGGTGCACTACAATCGAAAATATTCAGACGTGAAGTTTGAAGCTTGCCTTCCTGCAGCATTGGAACAGACGAAGCGAAGGCATGCGATGTCAGTCTAGACTACGAGCACGGTGAAGTTGATCGGTGCTGAACTGACTTTCTGTGCGTTTTACTGTGCTGACTCAAGTCACGATCTTCAGCTGTCTCAACACCAGCACGTCGCTGGACGCCATACACTTCCGACTCTCATCAGCAGCTCTTGAGGTCGGGGGCCATGTCGATGCGCGTCATGTGGAGATATCTGAGCTCCCTGTTCCTTTCAGATCATCAATGCTTCTCTTCAATCTCATGGCGAGAAGACTCAGAGTCAAACAACAGCATCATCTGCAAGTCCTTGTAAGTTTCGCTCGTTTCTCCTCCCTCAGTCTTCCTCAGTCTCCTCCATCCGTCTACCGTCTGCATCCTCCCCCTCTCCCCCTCTCCCCCTCTCCCCCTCTCCCCCTCTCATCCTCTCATCCTCTCTCCTCCTTTCCTCCTTGCCGTCCGTCTCACCGATGTCTCTCTCCTCCAGCTGCCGGCGCCTTGTCGGACGGGGCGTCGAGCAGTTGGCGTCTGACCAACAAGATCGCCGTGAAGGGCCTGCAAGTAGAAGCAGAGCACGGCGAAACAGCCATGACGCTGAAACTCAATGACATCCTTCTTCGACAGGTATCTCTGCTGCTGCTGCTGCTGCTGCTGCTGCTGCTGCTGCTGCTGCTGCTGCTGCTGCTGCTGCTGCTGCTGCTGCTGCTGCTGCTGCTGCTGCTGCATTTCTTCATCTACTTCTGCTGCTGCTGCTGTTGCGCTTGCTCCTGCTCTTTTGCTGCTGCTCTTGCGTGTCCTGCTGCTGCTGCTGCTCCTGCTCTTACTCCTTCTCTTGCTCCTGCTTCTGCTCTTTCCATGCCGTAGATGTTTAGGTGCTGCACCAACTGTTCCCTTCCACCTGTCCCTGGTTCACTTCTCACGCCTGCCCTCAGTTTGCTGTCTCGGGCTCGAGCAGCTCGTGGCAGCGATGGACGACGAGGCTCATGGCTGCGACATTGACGTGCGGGACGGGAAGCGACTCAAACGCTCACGTGCTCCACCTCAACTTCGATCCCTGGATGGAAGACGCACAGCCCTTGAGCAGGTGCAACTCCGCCATTCCCCCTCTTCGCCTTCTTCCCCCGCTCCCTTCCTTGTTCTTGCCTCTTGCCATAGATCACCTTTCCTTTCGCACCACCCACTCACCGTCGCCCTTTCTTTCTTGCCCTTCTTCGCTTGCTGTCCTTGTAGTTGCCCTCTACTTCTTCTTCCTCGTCGTCCTCCTCGTCATCGTTCTCCTCGTCATCGTTCTCCTCGTCGTTGTCCTTGCCCTCCTGTTGCCTCCTCACATTCATGGAACAGCGACATACGAAGTGCGCGGGACATCATCAAATCCTCGACCAGCGCCAACTTGAAGGTGAAGGAGGAGCACAGGTTCTTCGACACGCCCAACAAGCTGCTGCAGGTGCATCTACTTTCTCCTCTTCTCCTCTCCTCCCCGCTTCTCTCCTCCTGCTTCGCCGCCTGCCAATGGGACCCGGCGCTGAAGAAGTTTGCGGCCCCACTCACGGACTGTGATCAGCTGCAAGAGGCGGAAGAGGTAAACAGGGAGGGAGCAAGGAAGAGAGGAAGAGGGAGGGAGGGACGGAGGGAGGGAGGGAAATATTCTCACTATTAGGGGATTCTTTGACTGGTTGGCTCTGGTAGGAGCTTGTTGCTTTGCACTGCTCGCGGGTGTCAGCTCTGTTTGAGACGTCTAGCAGAGTTGAGCAGGAGAAAGGAGGGGAGGAGGGAGAAGCTGCTGCAGGAAGGAGCGACGAGGAGGGACGGCAGTCTCGGTCCCTCCTCCAAATCTCCATGAGCCCCTTGAGAGGTCAGCTCGAGCTCTCCTCCTCCTTGCGCTGCCTGCGGGACTTGGAAGTTGTCAAGGAGGAGCTTGAGAGGCTGCAGCGGGTCTTCGGAACTCGCGAGGGGGGGCGAGAGGGAGCGACCGCTAGTTGGCAGGTGAAGTTATGAGGGGGAGGCGATCAGGTGGACGCTGATGTCGATGCCAGTCAAGTCTTTTCCTCCACTCGCTCTCCTTCGACGTCTCCCTCGATCGGCCATCCCCTCGCCCCCTCCCTCCTGCCCTCTCCCTACATGTCAGGGCCGTCATGGCTGGGTTCTCCTCTGACGCTCAGTCGGTGCATGGGGAGCTCGGGCTCCGCCGCCTGGTCGTGAGCTTGAGGAAGGGAGGGCTGCGATGCAGGGATAAGGAAGAGGAGGAAGTCAGTCCGATCCTCGTCGTTGCTGGGCACTCGGCGAAGACGGATGTAGAGGTTGTTGCCGATGCTCCAACTTTCTGATCCTCCTGTGCAGGTCAAGATCGCCTTTGATGAGGGGCTCTCCTTCTGTGCTGCTCCTGGTCTATGCAAGAGCAGCAGCAGCGTGAATGCTGAGGGTTGTTGGAGATCCTCCTGCACTTGTTCTTGTGCCAACAAGTCTGCATGCGGGGTTGGCATGTGGGGCTGCGGTTGCTCGGCCCCGAGAAGGTTGCAAGTGAGAGGATCATGTTTGAAGATACAGGTGCGATGATGATGATGATGATGATGATGATGATGATGATGATGATGATGATGATGATGATGATGATGATGATGATGATGATTCAATGATGATGACGATGACGATGATGATGACGAAGATAGCGTGATGGTGATTGATTGTCAACTTTACAGACTCTGTGATGACATGATGCTCAACTCGCAGATGACAAGGCGAGACTTGGAAGCAATAACAAGACTCCAACTTGACATTATAGCAATGATCGAGCAAGACAAGGGACTACAACAGCAGCAGATCGCGCAACAACGGCATTTCAATCGCAAGGGCAACAACGGCAACTCACAGTCATGGCTTGAAAGTTCGATGAGTGAGTACGTCGAGGAGGACTCGTGCTACATGTCAGCCGTACAGTCGTTGAACTCGTCTCAGTGGTTCCCGGCGAGGTCAGGGGGGATGAAGGAGGAGGAGGGGAGGCTAGTGAGGGAGACTTCGTCCTCCTCATCCAGAGATTCGGATAAAGATATCTTCAGGATCGTTTGCGAGGATGAAGTAGAGGCTGTTCCCTTGCGAGCAAGAGTTTTGTTTGATGAGGTGAGGAGATGCATGACTTCATTCTCTTCTTCCTTGGTGCTGAGTGTTCTCGTTTCTACTAGTTTCTTTTGCTTTTCCTTTTCGTTTCTCTTCTTTTCGTTTCTTTTTGTTTCATGTCTATCTGTTTCCTGACCTTGTTTGCCTTTGACTCTTCTTCTTTTCCCTCCCTTCAGGTTTCTCTCAAGCTCGACGACATCGTCTTGAGCATGGAGCGGGCAAACCTGCACGCTCTGTTCAAATCCAAGAGATCACAAGACACCCAGGACAGCAGCGCGGGAGCAGCAGCAGCAGTAGACACCATCTGGCTACACACCTCAAGGGTCTGCGCTTCCTTGCAGGAGGACTGTTTCCTTGGACCGTTGCAGGACGTTAGCGAAGAGTTTCGTCCGAGCTCGAGCGCGATGCGAGCTCGCGGCTGCCATGCGGAGCCTGTGGAGGAGAGCAAGACGAGCTCCTCAGTGTTCTTCAAGTTGACCAGAACGTCGGAGCTCGCACACAAGGAGCATGCAAGCATCTCGTTCACTGCAAGGTGCTGCGGACTTGTCTTTGTCACCGACATCCTCCAACGGCTGGAACTCCTGGACCCGCTGTTGAAGTCGCTCTCCGAGATGTGGCAAGTTGGCGGAGCGACCAGGGGAAGCAAGCAAGGCCACAACACACCTCCTCCTCTTCCTCCTCCTCCTCCTCCTCCTTCTTTACAGTCGCTGCAAGCAAACATCGACGTGCTGGATACTTGCGTCCTTGCTATCTCCCATGCACAGAATGCGAACGATACAGCGTCCAAGATGGAGGAGGAGGTGGTGGAGGAGGAGGAGGACGAAGAGGAGGAAGAGATTCTAGGAAGCAGGAAAAGGATTCGACTCATGACCATTGTGTCAAGGGTTTCCCTCGATTTCTCCTCCTCCCCCCAAGTTCAGCCTGCCAGGGCCCGGCAGGTTGAGAGCAAGTCAGAGGAGGTCAAAGTGAAGTTGATATGCCATTCTGATATCGTTCATGTCTTTCTCCTTAACCCCCCTCCACCTGCTCCCCATGCTGCAACCTGCATGCGAGAAATCGTCGATTACATGCGCGATTGCGGTATGCCCTTGCCCCTGCCTATGCTCCTCTCTTGCTCTTGCCCTCCTGCTCCATCCCCTGCTCCTACTTCTCCTTCTAATGTTCCTGCTCCTGCTCCTGCTCGTCCCCCTCCTCTTCCATCTCCTCTTCCGCTTCTCCTCTTCCAAGCATCTAACGTTGTCATGCAGGGCACATCGAGTTGCTTCACATGTCTTCGTTTCATCTCGATCTCTCGCAAGAGAACAGCAGGGTCACTGTCTGCTTCCTCTCCCTTCCTCGCCGCTGACCTCCCGTCACAGGTTGATCTCGTTGCCAGTGGCCCTGATGTACAGGTGAGCAGAGGAGCTTCACGCTCCACCTCCCTCCTCCTTCTCCCTCCCTCCCTCCCTCACTCCCTCCCTCCTCCTTCTCCCTCCCTCCCTCCCTCCCTCCCTCCCTTCCTCCATATTTCTCTCTTTCCGTCCTCATCCTCATCTTCATCCTCATCCTCATCCTCATCCTCATCCTCATCCTCGCTCTCCCTCTAGGTCTCACCTTGTCCTCTACTTGTCTAGCTCAGCGGCTGACTTCCTCTCAGTTCGGGGCGTGTGTTGACAGTCTCAACTCGCTCCTGCTCTTCTCTCAGTCTCCTCTCGTCACGCACTTGCTCTCCTTCAAGTCTCCTCCTTCTGAGCAAGACAGTGGGAGGAAAGTCAGCAGGGCGAGAAGGATGGAGGCCCAGCAAGAGGAGGAGGAGGAGGAAGACTGGGAGCCCATCCACACGGGGGATGTCGAGGAGAGGATGCTCCGCGAAAGCGTTGTGAAGCTGTTCTCCTCCTCCTCCTCCCCCCGCCGCAGCCTCCCCTACGACATGGAGGAGGATCACTTCAACAGGGCAAACCTGCGCAGCAGAAGAAGAGAGAGGAGGGAGAGGAGGGAGAGGAAGCAGCAAGTGAACGTGCTCCTGAGAGACGTTCACGTCTGCCTGCGCCTGTTTGGAGGGGAGGACCTCAGGCATCGGGGAGAGGCAGGGAGGACGGAGCGAGGAGCGAAGCGAGAGCAGCACCTGCTCATGGCGGAGCTCGGGGACGACGTGGTATCAGTTTCCTCTTGCTCTGGAAGGAGGAGCGAGAGTCTGGCGCAAGAGAGCTGGAGGCTGAGGGGAGGGAGGGGAAGGCAGGAGGATCGATGGATCGAAGTGTACATGCAGCAGGGCTCTCTGCAGCTCTCGTCGAGCAAGAGCGGCGGGGCAGGAGAGCAGGAGAAGGAGGATGGGGAAGAGGATGAGTTCAGCTGTCTGCTGACGCTGCACCACCTGGAGGTATCGGACGGTCTGTTCAAGCCAGCAGCAGGAAGCTCGTCGGAGTTCTCCCTCCTTCTCCACCAGGTTGAGCGTGCAGACGCTTCCAGCAGCGCCATTAGGCATTCCCATGCTCTTCGAGTTGCATTGCGGCAGACTAGCGCCAAGGAGGAGGGAAGGAGGAGGAGAGGAGGACCAGGACCAGGACCAGGAACAGGAAGGAGGACGTGCGTGACAGTCTCTGCCTGCCCGATGCAGGTCAATCTTCATGAAGTCACGGCAGTCTTCATCATCAAGCTCGTCGAGGCCTTCGAGCAGGAGAGAGGAATCGCCGCCTCCGCCTCCTCCTCTGAGCTCGACCAAGATTTTGTCAGGGTGGACCTTGACGACTCACATGTCGTGATCGAACGGGGAGGAGGAGGAGGAGGAGGAGGAGGAGAGGGGCAGACGCTCTCCTTCTTCGTCATCCGCCCGTCCTACCTCAAGCTGAACCTCAAGAGGACGTACGAGGGGGAGCTGGAGGCGATGGAGACGGAGAAGCTGCTGGGAGGCTACACCGAGCGGCTCGTCAACCTTGTCATGCGCTACCTTGAGGGTCTTCCCGCCTTCTCCCTCCCCGGCATGCTCGTCGGCTGCGAGGGTGACTTGAGTTCATCCGACCTGCTCTCCCGCTACGCTCGCAGGTGTCAGAAGTCTCTCATCCAACAGTGCCTGGCCGGACTCTACAACCGACTCAAGGTCCATCTCCTGCGCCCCCCCCCCTTTTCCTTCCTGCTGCTATTATTTTACTGTGTTTCCTTCACTTTCTCCCGATGTCTTGGTCCTGCCGCCCCCCCCCCCCGCCCCCTTCCTCCCCTCCTCCTCCTCCTCCTCATCTTCATCCTCACCCTCATCTTCCTGCTCTTGCTCTTGCTCTTGCTCTCCTCGTTCGTGCTCCGCCCAGTGTCTTTCTTTTCTTTCCCTTCCTTCTAAACTCACACAGCACGCAACAACTCAAATGCATCACTTTCATTCCTCCTCCTACCTCTCCTCCTTCTAGACTTCGTCCTCTTCCTCTTCCTCTTCCTCTTCCTCTTCCTCTTCCTCTTCCTCTTCCTCTTCCTCTTCCTCTTCCTCAACTTTTTCCCAGGTTCCCATCCGAGGCGCATGCCATGGCTTCACTTCAGCTCTCGAGCGGCTGCTGGGGGACAGCAGGAAGCTCCGTGGGGTTCATCGTGGGCTGCTCTCCTGGTCCCGCGCCCTCGTTCATGCGGCGGCAGCCGCAGCCTCCTCCTCCTAAGGTTGAGGGACGAGCGGAGAGGAGGGGAGGAGGGGAGGAGGGGAGGAAGGGGAAGCTAATTGGTACTTGTCCATCATGAAGAAGCTTTTATGATCTACTGAGCGCTTCTCCTGTTCCAGAGTTAAATGAGAAAGCACGAGCACAAGCACAAGCACGAGCATTAGCAGCAGCAGCAGCAGCAGCAGCAACAACAACAAGAGCTGGAGAAGGAGCGAGAGCAGGAGAAGGAGCAGAAGGAGGTAGGAGACAGGGAAGGAGCAAGAGAGCAGGCAAGGAGGGAGTGCATGGAAGATTTTGACCGATATCGCCGAAGGACTGAAGTCCAAACTTGGGTTGCATGCTGCCTTGTGAATTGTTTGCCTGCAAGGGAGATGAGATGAGATGAGATGAGATGAGATGGGATGAGATGAGATGTGATGAGATGTGATGAGATGAGATGAGATGAGATGAGATGAGATAGGATATGATGTGATGAGATGGAGAGAAGCAAAGGGATGCAGTAAGTGATGGGCTCACAGCAGTCAATGTGGTACATCCAGTCAGAACAATCTGAGATTATCAAGTTACTTCCAACATTTGCGAGCAACACAACAAAATCAACCAGAGTGTCAACTCCTCCATCATTGCCGAACTTCACGTCCGTGTCCAACCTGACATCCGGATTACTTGTGATCTACAACCTCACAGAAGTCTCCTCCCTTTCTCTTCCCTTCCGCCCCCTTCCCTTCCCTCTCCACCCCTCTTCCCTTTCCCCCTCTTCCTACCGATCTCCCACCATCACTGTGCGCTTCTTGTTCATCCCCTGCGCCAAGCTCAGTCCTCTTCCTCCTCCTCTTCCTCCCCCTCCTCCTCCTCGTACCTTGGAGCTTTCTAGGATGTCCAACATCATCGGGCCTGATTCATCTCAATTCATCAGCTCCTCATGCTTAAACTCCTTCAA